GGGATAAAATATTATTGTTAGATATAATTTTATTTTTTTATTTATTTATTTTATTATGTAATATACAATCTGTACAATTTAGGCACAATAAGCATATGCGAGAAAATTAACACAAAAAATAAAACAGACGAGAAAGACGTGATTAAAGAAGCCACCCATTAGTGATACTTAAGCTGTTGTTGGTATGCATCGTTATATTAATTTAGAGAAGGTCGCGATACCGCATGATCTTTTTAATCTGCGTTGTGGATTTCTAGGAAGAGTTGGGATGGAAAGAGCTTTTATGGGTGAATAGTAGTGATTCGCAAGTTTGAGGTGAAATCTGTTGTAAAAAGTTTTGGCTTCTTCGTTAATTGTTTTTATTTACGGAGCGTAAAATTTGAAACGAAATAAGCGGCATTTGTAATTTTGCGAAATCGAATATTTTGGAAAGTTTGAATTTTGTTGGTATTAGATTTTTTGGCTGCTCCCCAGAATTGTAGTCCGTAAGTCCATATAGGTTTTAAAAGAGATTTATATATGATTGCTTTTGTTTTTAATTTTCTGCATTTGTTAGAATATAGTGATTTGAGTATACGGGAGCGTGAGGTAAGTTAGAGTCTTTTTGTTTTTAAATGCATAATATTCCATGTTAAGCGTTTGTCTAGATGAAGACCTAAGTATTTGACCGTGTCAGAAGTAGGGATTGGAGTATTATTTATGAAAAACGTTGGACAGTGACCTCAGATATAATATCACTTTCTTTTTATAGTTACCTATATTATTACCTATATCATATATAGGTGCGCATGTGCAATGTACATTATAAACAATACAAACACAGCAATATTTCAATATAATATAGTATAATATTATAATAGGTACTCGTATACCTATCCATAACATATATACAAACGGTTATACATCATAGATAGTGATGAAAAGTGCCACAGTGGCGTATGTTTTGGTTATTGAAAAACCTACCTTGGCTATTTTTATGCAAAAAATATGCAAAAAATATTTTTTCAAACGGTTCTATCTATAAAACTATATAAGTTTTATTTTGTATATTTGGTAATATATAGAAGTTTGAATAGTTGGATGACTACAATTATGGTGGGTGTATAACATATAAGCCCTCCCAAGTTGTATATTTCAATAAAAAAAATAGAACACCCTCTTTAAAATATTACGACTACGGGTTTGGTCAGTGGCCTTTAGAACAAAGTAGGTTCTTTTCAATACTATTTTGTGAGATAATAAAACCATACATTTATCTGCAATATTATCTTGGTGCGGTCACTGGTCAGTACTCTTCGTGAAACTCACCCTATTAAACCGTCGTGTATAGGTAAACCAAATCGCCGTTTAATGAGTATACATGAATCTACGTATTATATACGTATATTATATTTTATCCTGTATGTAGCACAATATTATATTATACTCGACGAAAACGGCGTTTTGCGTTTTTTTCGTCTTACAAATTATTTCGTGTTGGTCGCACTCCCTCCGGATACGCGTTGGTTTTGAATTCCGGTCGCGGCGTAGTACCACGTTTTTTACGGATAATGTGTAAGAATAGATAATCTAAACGTGTGCGCCCTAATCAACTTCCCCATATACCTGGCTATTAGATAATATTATATACCAAAAAATACGACCAACGTGATATACGATCCACCTTCATCAGCCCGTCGACGTGACGTCATGAATATGTTAGTAAAAACTGCAGGTACCTATTATACCAAAAAGCCGTCGAAGTGAAAAGAAAACCCATAATTGATGTACTAGCGTTGTCTTTTAATATGACCGGAGACAATAATGATGATGATAATAATAATAATAATAATAATAATATATAGGTTATCCGAAACCATATGATCTTATATAACATATGTATAGGTTCTCTGTTAGTAAACAATGTAACGTATAAGTCACAAAAACAAAACCATCACAATAATAAAATAGAACCAACGAACAAAGGTTTACTGTACATTTAATAAGTTATACACTGTGGTCATAAACGTCGGCTGTAACTTACACTTATATACAAACAGACGCACAGTAAAAAACTAAAAATGTAACTTGAGATTTCGTGGTATTTTTGCATTAAATAATTATAATTGATGGTAGTAGCTCATATAGCCTTCAACTCATAAAGTCATAAGACATTAATTTATAATTTAATAATTCAATGACATCCACAACTGCATAAAGTTATAGCTGCAAAATTGTGGTGCATTAAAGTCTCTTCAAAACATATAGGTATTAATATACTGAAGTACTGTAAAACCATGCAAACACACGGACGACACATAGGGACAGTGATCGATGATGCGCATCATATTATACCCAACTACGCAAACAGTATAATATCATTGTTAGCTTAACGTTAAATACATAATATATTTATAATAGCTGTTCGTATAGGGGTGTAAGTAAAATATTACAATCTGCTTAATCACAGTTATTTCAATCGATTCATTGTCCCGATCTGACTAGAAAAACATACTCGGAATCACTACATTCAAAATATTACGTATATTTAATATTATTATGAAATATCGTTACAAAACGTACACAGATCAATATGGTGCCTATGTAAAGATATCATCAGACTTGTCACGAAACATTCTTAGGTAAATATATAATGACACCACTTCAATAAATTGTATAATAATTGATAATACACACACAAAACACCTACGTAATACTTACGTTGTCAATATAGGTACTGGTATAATGAATAATATTTTAAGTACAACTTTTATTTTTTATTAGGTTAGGTTATACATTTCATGATATTATTTTCATACCCAAGTAATAGACTTCTTTAGCCTAAATGCCTTTACTTAGGCTATGGCCTAACTCGAATTCGACGGGCCTATATAAGTATATCAGATATAGTATCAGTATGGTGAAACACATCCCCAATAGCCGACACTAATTCTCCGGTAAAATATGTGAACGCATTTGGAGTTATACTGTTATAACCTCTAAATATTGGTCGGCCCTATAATAATATAATATGGTGGACGTGAACACTAAAACCCGATACAAACATTATAAGCTACATCTCTCATTAATAATGTATATTATTATTTTAGACTATATCGATAATGTTTGAGCAATGAAAATATTATACTTGTTTAATGTATAAGTAATAAATATTATCAATCGACATCATTATCGTGCAGATAGTAGGTGTTTGTGATATCGCCCTGGGTCGGGAAACAACTTTTAAGGCACGGGTCACCAGTCCATGGATTCTCAACGACGCGTCGGAAGCATTGCCGATCATTGCGCGTCGTATAGTGACATTAAAATTATATCAGTTATATTGTGTTAATTCAATATTTTTTACTAACAATAAATTATTCAATTACTCATTATACCGTCCACTAGTTTTTTTCATCTTTTTAATATTCAAATTATAAACTGAGCGAAAACAATACTGATAATAATTTTAAAATAAAAAACCTAACCAGTCGGRGGACTGCCGGTAGAAGTGAAAACTTCTTAAGCACGTTGGGCACCCCGTAAGAAAGCATTTGCGTGTGAGAAAAAAAGTATGGAATCGCGACACCGCCACCGCCACCGAGAGTACATGTATATATATACTGTTATACTTAAGTGTGAGCGTGTATGTGTATATATACTAGAACTGCAATTTCACTTCGTTTTTAAAAATTTTGTAATGCTTAGGAAATAATTTACCACGAATTGTTTTATTTATCAATATAAAATACTATACATAATTATTTCAGTTATTTTACATAAAAGAAAAAAAAATTACATGTCAAAATTATTACAAAAATGAGTTGTTGTTTTCCCGTAACTGCCGTCTGCTGCGCGCACAACTTTGATACACTAATGTATATACCACAGTACATATATATACTCGCGGTGGCGGTAGCGCGAGATCATACTTTTTTCCTCGCTCGCAAATATATATACCACTGTATATATTATATCTACTCGCGGTGGCGGTGGCGATGTCGCGAGATCATACTTTTTTCCTCACTCGCAAATGCTTTCTTATACGGGGTGCCCAACGTGCCTAAAGAAGTTTTCACTTCAAAAATAAATAAATACATAAAAATATTCTACACATTTTATTCGTTTTACCATATTATCCTAATCGTTAAGAATTGTATATACATATAATATATATATTAGATAACAACAATCTTCTTTGCACAATTAATATAATAAGAATATCAGAAATTATAAATATTATTGTAAGTATTGACGACGAGATACTACGAGAGAATAACAAACCCGATCGGTTTACTCGTAGGCATACGTATTAAAACAGTACCACCAGGGTAGGTGCTGTTGCTGCGGCGGCGGCGGCGGCGTTCTATTTGTCGGACCGCGCGAGACCGGGGCGGAGCGTGTTGTGGGGAGAATTTATAAAACGCGTTACCGGTCCCTTCCGGCCGATCAGTAGCTCTCGGCTAACCACATCGCACGCACGTAATCCGTCGCACGATTGACACAAGAATTCGTTCACCGCACACGCGAGATCTTTGACGACGCGATTTGATTAGTTTTCCGCAATCGACCGTCGCGTTACATTTTACCTACATATAGGTACTCGAGTACAGTGCGTATTTAATCGATCGCAACAAAGAACGAAGCCACTTGTTGCAAATATTTTTTTTTTTAAATAATAATAATCGTTTTTTTTTTTCGACTGACGCGGATAACACTAAATAGTATTATAATGGCGTCGGTACTGAACATGA